AGGAAGAACTGGCAGCTTGATTCCCTGTTCTTGAAAATACCAAAATATCTACAATTGTTATCCGATGTACTTACTGGCATCATCCATGAACTCAAAGTCACTTCCTAGTTCAGAACTGGAAAAGTGATACTGATCTGGATCTGCCAGGGCACTCAATAAAATCAACAGTACCACGGCATTGATGATCTGCAATAAGGAAGAAAAAACAAGTTAACCCCAGGATATGCTCCTTATGATAGAAAATCATACTGACCACATGGAATTTAAATTCAACAGAGCTTAACTTTCAACACCAAGCCCCATCCATGGAGAGAGCAGGAAACTTCCCAATGCTGAAACACTGCCAGCCGTTCAGATGCAGCCGGGGCACCTGGCATGGTGCACAGACAACAGTTGGATATCACCCCCCCTTACCCCTTGGCCGGACACCCTAGAGCAGTAAACAGCCTCCACATGCATAGGCAGCAGCCCTGGCGCAAGTAGTTGGAAACTTAAAAACTCCCCAGTTAGCCAAGCATACCGTAACGACCTAAAGATAAGCAACTGAAGCTTTTTCAGATGATCAAACATTTTTCGCAGCTTCAGACAACCAGAGCTTGAGACCACCTAGGGAACAGCTCAGGGAATGAACGCACAGCCACTTAGCAGCAGAGTCAGGATCGTTACTCGTGCAGTAGCACACATGAGCTCCTTCATACCCCAGGCCCACATTCCTGTATTCTGGATACTGCTGCATAGATTTCCCTTGGATTCTTCAAACCCAGCTTGCCTAGGTGGAAATCATCGTACTTATTCTCTCCCACCTCTCTTCCTCCTTTTTTTGTGCTCTACCTTGGCACAGTAGTTAAGTGCTTGGCTGCTAATCAAAAGGTTGGTGGTTCGAACCCACCAGCCGCCCCATGGAGAAAGATGTGGGAGTCTGCTTCCATAAGAATTTATAGCCTTGGAAGCCCTATGAGGCAGTTCTACTCTGTCCTATTGGTTTACTAAGAGTTGGAATCGACTGGTCAGCAATGGGGTTAATGCGTTACCTTAAAAACAGCATCACCATTAATAATTAAAAATGGAAAACATTTATTTAGTACTAACTGTGGGCCTGACATGATGCTAAATTCTTTATGTGGATTCTCTTAAGCCCTACAATAACCTTATGGAGTATGTTCTTAATTATTCCCATTTTATAGATGAGAAAACTGAGGCACAGGAGTTAAGAACATTGTCTAAGATCAAGCAGCTAGCATACTGTACAGATGGGATCCGAATCCAGCAATTTTAATGTCAAAACCTAACCTCTTAAAAAGTTTCCTGCTCATACCCGAATCCCGATTATCTCGGGCTTACCCTCTCTTTCTTATCTCTCACATCTAACTGCAAAATTCCAGCCATCCCACACCTATATTTCTATTTCCTTTATTCTTCCTAACTGTCCTTGGTGAATAACATGCGTACCAACTACGACTGGGGCGGAAGAGCAAATGTCCTAGAGTATCAGTGAGGCACAGGCTGAGACTGGGTTGTTACTGCTCCTTTTTTCTAAGTTCAGAAACATATGACAGAGCTCTATGTTTTAGTCTTGTCAAAATGGAAAGAAAAGGTGAATAATCTTCATTCATAGAGAAAAGCCTTTTACTAACGATATTAACTAAAGCATACCCTACTATAAAAGTCATGTTTGAAGATACCAATTTACAGAAGAGTTCAAATGGAGAGTCAGGTTATTTGTTTTA